AAAAATATCGGGGATAGGGATATATCTGAAGGGGACACTAATGAGGTAAATTTATATGAAAATACAATAGAGGAAATCCGTCCCGCTTCGCAGGTGGGATATATTCGAGGTTGGGATATTAAAGGGTGGGGATTTAAAAGAGGGATGACTGTATCCCTATCCCCAAAATTCTATTGTCCCGATTTCCCATGCCATATGATCATCCTCCTTTGTATTTATTACACAAAACATCTATTGTGTTGAGGATAAAGTAACATTAATAGAAAAAAATACTGATGCCAATTAAGCGATTAAAACTGGCAAATGAGTTCTTGTAAGGTAAGTAACATTCTTCGAAAAGAAAGATAAAGATATATAGTAATTTAATTCGACGTTTAGCCGATTCAATAAAAAATCAAAATGCCAAACTTTATAAAGAAATTTATTAACCAATTACAATTAAAAATTGCGTGCTTTGAATAACATTGCACACACATATATAGATCTCGGTTGTATCGCACCTCGAATCGTCCCATAGTAATATTATAGTAATAGTAACAGTGGTTACTCAAAATTTAAGAATTTTGTGATACCTAAATATTTGTATACGCAGATCAAATAAAGAACTGAAATGACATAAAGTCTCAAAATGTAACCATGATAAAGCTATGTTACAACTCTACTGCAAATTAACATTTATTGATTATGATTTATGCCAAGAAATAAATTTATAAATTTATTATGCAAAATTATACATTCGGGATAGCATCTGATTGAAGATTCTATTAATACATGGTTGCATACCTTTGTTACGCCTCAGTTGGGGACCTGTTTCAGGCTGGAAGACAATTGAGTTCTGGACTGAGTAACTGAGTAACTAAGTTCTGACTGAAACAGGTCTCCGATTGAGGCGCAACAAAACTTTGCCATTTTTACTAAGAATAAAATAAAATGCTTGGATTGTTGTAAAAAAGAGAAAGTACCAAGCGCCGAACGCAGCACATGTGACTAATTAATCTGCGAAATGCATATGCACTCGCTTGAATGATGTAACAAAAAATTCATTTACCTTGTCATTTACATTTGTTTAAATCTACATGACAAAACTGTCGATAACGCAGATAATTGTGGAGCTGTCAAATTTGAGCATTTTCTTCGTAATGCTTTATTTACTCAATTTCCGTTAACTATAACGCACAAATGCTACGTAGTAATTTGTTTCTCAAACAATTTACGGAAATGTAACTCAGATACAAGCGCAAACTATAAACCAAAGTCTGACACGATTTGTTGCAGAAATTTAAAAGTCGGCGACCTTTGAGATGCCCGCCACAAAAAAGAATTTCTTATCAGTTTGACGTTTTTGACATTGATCGCCCTAATTAAATTTTCCATCAACCAATTGTGAGATTGTTAGTAACCTTCTTTTTCAAACTAGTCCGAATGAACGGGGGCGAAATATCGGATTAAATCGTATTTACATATTGTCATCCACGATTATGGTATTTATACAATTTTATCGCCGAGCTACATTAACCCGCTAAAGCTAGATATATTACCATTTACATTTACAGTTATTCGGTTTCACAGCATACAAGATATCAGTTAACTTGTGCTCTGTATTACAAATGTCAATCAGTAACAGCTTAGGAAAGTCATTCCGAACCTTTAAAAAAAACTTAGTCGATAATTCGATTTTTGGAATACGTGATAACGGAAAAGTAGATCGAAATACAATCATAACCATTGATGGTAATCAATACAACACGAAATAGTTCACGCGCGACAAACATGTCCCCCACTCAGCCAATCGGAACTAAAGTCCCTAATACTAATAAGATCACCTTTTGTTAGAGTTAGATATTGAGACTGTAAACGAAAGACACTTTTCGATGTCTTTGGCCTGGAGACAATAGGTATTACGTAGGCCGCTTTTATTGAAAGAAGCAATTTTGAGTCAAAGTTTGTTCATATGGGCATACGCATCTCTTTTCCCGTTTAAACCATCTTCTAACGACGATGTATGCATGTGAACAGACATATGTTTAGGTTTCAGACAATCACCGTAAATAGAAAGCAAGTGGTCTAATTACGGCCGAGTAATTGGTTGTGAGAACAGATAGGGATTTAAATTTGCGACAAGGTGTCCCAAAAAATCAATTGTAATGGACGCTCAATAGTGGATTTCCCACACGCAACAATGCTATTAGTCAAATGAGCATAAATATTGAATTGACGCTAATATATATAAATACAGTTTCTCTCTTAAATAAATTAATCGAACGCCACAACGGATGTTGTGTATTTAACGTATAGGATTTCTAATACCTCACATAAACCTTGCCTTTCGTTTGATGCGTTTCGTTAAAATCATACTACACTATGTCAGATTTAAACGTGCCAACACCCCCAAAATCGTATGAATTTTTAACATCCGGCGCCCCTCGAACAGAGGGCGAGACCACATGGCAGTACAACCTGCGAAAGCTTTTGACCATCAAATCTCTAAAGTCTTTGGAGGCTGACCACAAAAAATCTTTATTAAAGAGATGCTTAGGACCCCTTGACTTGACAATGGTCGGTATTGGGGGGACTATTGGTGCGGGTATTTTCGTGCTTACTGGTGAGTCGAAAGAATTAACGATATTATCCTCATCGTTGTAATTAAAGCTTAACGCTGTTATTTACATTTCTCTATTTCTGACAACTTTTCTTGCCTACCGAAACCAGGCCAGGCGGCTGCAAACCACGCGGGTCCGGCTGTAGTCATTTCATACCTCATATCCAGTTTTGCCAGCGTTTTTGCCGCATTATCCTATGCCGAACTTGCCTCGATGATTCCAATCTCTGGCTCGGCTTACACTTACACATATGCCACTATGGGTGAACTAATGGCCTGGATAGTCGGATGGGATCTAATACTGGAATATCTCGTTTCAATTTCCGCCGTCGCTGTAGGATGGTCTGAGTACCTTGTTCATTTCATCGAAGATGCTTTTTATAAAACGTTGAGCCCCGCGTATACAAAATCCCCATTCATTTTCAATTCTGCGACTTCGTCATTTGAGTCGGTTCAGGGAACATATTTCAATGTACCGGCGTTCGCGGTGATTGTGTTCCTCACGATCCTATTAGTCCTGGGGATTAAAGAATCGTCTTGGTTCAATACTTCGATTGTTGCATTTAAGATTTTCGTGATTATATTATTCGTGATTGCCGCTGCGCCCTCGATAAAGACCGAAAACTATCATCCATTTGTGCCCAAGAACGAGGGAAGTTTTCCCAAATTTGGTGTATCAGGAATTTTCTCTGGTGCATCGGTAGTATTCTTCGCCTATATTGGATTTGATGCTGTTACAACTGTCGCGCAAGAGTCAAAAAATCCTTCAAGAGACTTGCCCATCGGAATTTTGGGAAGTCTGTTCGTGAGCACAATATTATATGTGTCCGTTTGGTAAGTGTTGGGTGGCGTGTTTGCTGGTTTTTCACAACTGCACAGCTAATTTCTGTTTTATTATAAAGTCTGGTAATGACTGGGGTAGTGAGTTACAAAGATTTGAATACAGCAGCACCGATAGCAGTAGCCATACAAGCGACTGGAATGCGATGGCTTGCGATAATAGTAGATATCGGTGCAATTGCCGGTCTTACGTCAGTAATACTCGTCATGATCATGTCTCAACCACGAATATTTTACACAATGGCCACGTTAGTATTGTACATTCTTTCTGTATCGGTTCTCGACGGATTTTGTCTCTTTATAAAGCAACTAAACCTAATTTTTTTATTACATGTAGAGACGGTCTCTTTCCATCCATAGCTACCAAAGTCCACTCACGCTTTAAAACACCCTATATTACCACAATGGCAACTGGTGCAGTGGCTTCAATCGGTGCTGCATTCTTGCCTATAGATGTCCTGGCTGATCTCACATCCGTCGGTACACTTTTCGCTTTCTTCCTGGTCAATATGGGTGTATTGATTCTCCGTATTAAGGCTCCCCATATACCTCGAGGATTCCGTGTACCTGGTGGTCCATACTTTGTACCAATCATTGGAGCCGCAATGAATCTGTTATTGTTAGCCACTTGCACGAAAAGCAGTATTGAACGTCTATTTATTTGGATGGCAATCGGATTGATTATCTATGCTTTATATGGAAGGAGGAATTCCAAAGTTAATAATACCAGTAATACTAATGAGAAGTCAGTCGACGTTTTTGAGGAGTGCAAGAATGACCAAGATGTTGTGACCGAAGTGAATGAAATGACTGTAGTAGGTGAAGTGACCGAAATAAATGAAGTAGTCAATGTTTGATTGTACTCTATTCTATAATAAACAATTTTAATAATCTAAATATGGTTGTTCGCATGTTTTGTTCCGGGATGCTTTGTAAACGATATCGAGAATTGGGAGAACTTATTGACTTTTGATTTAATTAATTGGACTATCAGAAATCCGATGGAAGATTAGAAATTGAGAGATTGAGAATTCGTTTACGACTAGCTGACGCTAGGAAATGTCCACCAAGGCAGACTCGTTAAGACAAAGCCACGCTAAGCCGAAATTGCATTAAGCGCCGAAGTTTCATTCTTATTGTAGCGTTAAAGGGTAAGCCGAAGACTTTCACTAACCAAAATATACATGCGTGCTTCTATCTTCTAATATAAAAACAATCTTTTTTTCACGTACTATTGTAATGTCGTAAACAATCGCTCGATTGTTTATCAACCAGTTTTGTTTACCGGTCATGCGACCATTTTTGCCTTTATCGGAGTCCGGAGACTTTCCAAAGCAGCTCTTGAACAGTGTCAATTCTCTGTTTTACATATTAGCAAATGTTGGGACAACGTTGGCGTTATTCTTTATCTAATTTGAGAAAGTTAAAGAGAATAGTTGAAACTAAACGTCAGAACACATTACAACAAACGAGTATTCTTTCATTAATAAAGTTATGGTGTTGAATTTGTGCAAATACATATAAATTCGAAATTTAGTAAAACGAAATTTTCGATACCGATTAAATTGCCTCTTTCCCCGACCCTCGTCCCTTGCAGACACTGGAGCAAACATTGTGTATAATATGGAATAATACATTTAAAATTTTGAACGGAAAGAGACATTGATTCCACAATGGAATACATGTTCACATGACCCAAGTCTACAATAATTGTTTAATTCTGTGATTTAACAGAGGATTGATGTCATCAAATAGTAACAATTGAAATTATATGAATTTGGTGCTTACTTCATATGTATGGTAAATTCAATAGTCGATTTGGCCAAGTGAAAATAGTACGTGCTGGTTAATAGTCGGCGTATTAACGCAATATATCAAGTATTTGTGGGCTTGGAAGTTCTTCTACTGAATTGATCTGAGACTAAAATTGGTGGAAGGAATGTCAACATAAAACACATAAACAGTGATAGTTCGCGAGTAGACAGATTGTCGATGGAATAGCGTCACGTCATTATCTGTAGCAAAATCTGCCTGAGAGAAGAGTTGTTTAATCAGTGTTGGGTTAAAATAACCTTCTCTTTTGTTTTGTTCAGCATGAAACACGCAGTTACTATCTATTTTAATCAGATTCTTTAGCTCAATAGCACGTCCCTCGTACATTATCGTACTGGATAAAAAAAGCATATGAATATTACGTATGACCTATGCTATTATTAAATTACTGTTATCGAGATAAAGAAGAAGCGAGCTGTTGCACACACACATTCTTTTTTTTAATTAAGTATTAATTAAAACATGTCTTGACTCATTGAAATACGTATTTGGCTGTGACGGCAAAATATTTAAATTCACATGAAAACAATTTAGCGATTATTGGCCGTTCCTATCTGGCGTAGATAAGGCATAGATAGAGTTATCATGCTTTGTAAAAGAACCATTAAACAATTTGCACAAAACGAATGACCATTTCCACATGGCATACGTTTTAAACTCTTTATTTAGAGGGGATAACATTAATTTACAACTATGGCATAGCAGACGAGGGGCACTAATTTTACATGCATACAAAGTTATGGTGAACCCCGAATCCAGAGATAGTAATCTTTGTGTCTCCGTTGGAGAAAAGGGGTAACATGTTAATCCACGTCTTTAGACGACGGCAAGAAAAGAGAGAGGGAATGAGAAATCGTCGCATCTTTGTTGTCATAATGGTTTATGGCCTCATATCACTTATTCGCAACATTTGACTAGCATTACATTATAAAGCGTGCATGCATGACAAAAAAAAAAGAGACTTAAATTACCATCCTTCACATGGAGATTATTGGCCGTGTTACAATGACTAATCATGCGTTATGCATAGTGAAGATCCACTTTAGGTCTTGATCACACACACCCATTTCGAATACGCGAGTGAGAAAATTCCCTACCCGATACACGTCCTGCATAAAAATTGGGTCTCACAGATCAATATTTAGGTTTTGCAATTATCAGGGTCGTTATGCGTTCTTAAAGAAAATGGTAAATACCGCATATCTTGACATATTTTAATTTATTATAATTCCATAATTATGCTACTGTAAAACCGCTTATACTGCCAAAAAATTTGGCAAGACTTCAAACCCCAACTTGGAAATATAAATAATATAAAACTATTATTAGAACTGTCTTTTTGTAACAAAGAATACCGGACTTTTTTCTTATCTATCCGTGCGTAATGGTAAAAAAAGTCGGTTCTATTTATGGGCATCCAAAGTTCATGTGTACAGATATTAGAATTCAGATTATATATATATAAACTGCCTTTGCAGACGTGGATAATTCATAGAACCGCACTAGAAAGGCTCACAGCCTTTAATAATTATATTTTATTCCTCTCTTTTGTAATCATAACCTTGCATACCTAATTATACCACATAGATAGATCATGTCAAAAGATACACCGACTTCCGCCACCAAAACATATGCGTTTTTGACATCCGGCTCGCCTCGGACGGCAGATGAGACGCAATGGCAGTATAATATGCGAAAACTCTTGACTATCAAAAGTCTAGACGATTTAAAAGCAGAAAGTGAGAAGTCCACCATGACCAGATGTTTGGGACCGTTTGAATTAACAATGCTTGGAATTGGTGGATCGGTAGGAGCAGGAATTTTTGTGCTGACCGGTGAGTTTAATTGCATGATATAAAACCAGGACAAAGATTATCAATCGCAATGATTTACGCTCACAACTATTACCAACATAATTCACCCCTCTTGTTGAAAATTTTTATTATACAAATCAGGCCAGGTAGCCGCACTTCACGCAGGCCCTGCTATCGTTCTATCATATTTTCTATCTAGTTTGGTTGCCTTTTTTGCCGCACTATGTTATTCTGAACTTGCCTCAATGATTCCAATCTCTGGCTCGGCTTACACTTACGCATATGCCACTATGGGTGAACTGATGGCTTGGATAGTTGGCTGGACCCTAATACTCGAATATCTCGTTTCGACCGCCGCCGTAGCCGTAGGATGGTCCTCATACTTTGTCCATCTCTTTGAAGACGCTTTCTCTGTATCCTTGAGTAACTCGACGACCATGTCTCCGTTAATGTTCGACGTTACGACCCAGTCATTTCAGCTAGTTCCCGGAACATACTTTAACGTACCGGCATTCGCCGTGGTTGCAATTCTTACTGTCGTGTTGGTCATCGGAATCAAGGAATCGGCTCGGTTTAATAACGTTATGGTCGTGTTTAAAATATTGGTGATTCTTTTGTTTGTTTTTGCCGCCGCACCCTCGGTAAAACCTGAAAACTATAAGCCATTTGTACCCAAGAACGAGGGATCCTTTTCTGCTTATGGTGCATCGGGTATCTTTGCTGGTGCATCGATCGTGTTTTTTGCTTACATTGGATTCGATGCCATCTCAACTGTTGCACAAGAGACAAAGAATCCAGCAAGAGATTTGCCAATTGGGATTTTGGGAAGTTTGGGTGCGTGCACTGTATTATATGTGGCTGTATGGTAAGAATAATATCTGATTCCCTCCCTCCCTCTCTCTCTTTTTTTTACCGAATCACCGCGTAATTAACCTTTTATTATTATTATAGCTTGGTAATGACTGGAGTAGTAAATTATACCCAATTAAACTCAGCAGCACCAATAGCCGTAGCCATACAAGCAACTGGAATGCGATGGCTTACGGTTATAATTGACCTCGGTGCACTTGCTGGTCTTACATCAGTGATACTCATTTCGCTTATGTCTCAACCACGTATATTCTATATAATGGCACAGTAAATATACTTTATATTTTGGTTTTTCGTTTTGGGCTTTTTTATAATGTACGAAAAATAATTCTAATTCATCCTTGTCTTTCTCTTCTCTTATCTCATTGGCACAATTAGAGACGGTCTCCTCCCTGCCGCAGCCTCCAAAATTCACCCACGCTTTAAAACACCTTACGTTACCACGATAATAACCGGAGTTGTTGCAGCGATTGGTTCGGCGATTCTGCCCATAGACGTTCTTGCCGATCTCACTTCTGTTGGCACACTTTTTGCTTTCTTCCTAGTAAATATCGGTGTACTAATCCTCCGTATTAAGGCTCCTCACATACCTCGAGGATTCCGTGCCCCTGGCGGGACGTATTTTGTGCCGGTTGTTGGGTCCATAATGAATCTTTTATTGATAGCTACTTGTCCCCGTAGTAGTATTGAGCGCCTGTTTATTTGGATGGCGATTGGATTAGTTATCTATGGCCTCTACGGAAGGAAGTATTCCAAAGCTAATAATAATAGTAACAGTAATGAAAAAGCGATTGAACTGTTTGAGCAGCAAAAGAATGAGGACGATGTTGTGAGCGTTTGATCACATAACATAGTACTTGACAATCAAGTGTTGGTCATTTTATCAAATTTTTGTGGTTTTAGGCTAAGCTAAAATTTTCCCTGATCAGTTAATGTCTTTATATTCTGCATGTATCATTAGTCTTAGGTATTCTTCTTCCATAACTGCTCGCAATATACTTTTACACTAGCATGAGTAAAGAATACTAGTTTGGATTAACACAATCATAATCAAAACCTCTTTGGTATTGCTTGCAGTTAACCGTAACAAGGGAGCAAAACAATATCGGTTTTGCGAGAGTGAAGAGATGTTATCGAATAACTTTCCGTCTTGATAGCACTTTGCCGTAGTAAATTGGTTGCTATCCGCATTGACATTTTCGTAAACAAATCACTATTAATATTGTTAATGAAATCTTTGCGTATTAGTTATTATAACTGATTTGCAATATCGCGCATAGTCTATGAATTCTTGCGCTGATACATCCAATTAGAGAGGAGTCGTTCTTGCATGGCCATGTGACAATATGCCGACCATGAGCCAACACGATACTAATAAATGCTTGGTGACTTCTATTCATCGAAGTGAGAATTTAAACCAAACCAATGCATTCTTCCCACGCCAACGCCAGATCACGTTCGGGATACCGCTGTCTTTCTAGCGAATGTTCTGACACTAAACGGAAAAAAGCACAAGTTAAAATCGACATATTTCTATGCCGATGCGTGTACATAAATGTTTGCAAGTGATGGTAAGAAATTAACCAAACCTCATTCGTAAATTTGCCTAAAAAAGTCTGCGGCCATTTTAATTATAATTAATAAATAATATAGTTTGATTTGCATAATCGAGATTTACGCTTTTAGTGGTTTGACGTAATGCAGATTAAGACCAGGCGACTGTTTGGAGTGCGAAAATGAATTGATTTCCTAAATTATACACTTTGACTCGCTGTTCAGGCCAGGCATGAGAATTATACCTAACCTATTACTAAATATACACAATAGTAAGTAATATGAAAATTTGAGGGAAAAAAGTGTTCTGCCTGCAATGATAATAATCGACTTGTCATTTTCGGTTTACATCTGCAGGAATTTATCTATTCGTAATCACATAAAGCAGTATTAAAACAATATCGTAACTATTTTGCGGTGAATAAAACGCCACGGCAAAGTTAAGTATTATTACATAATGGATACGAAAAGCGACACATTTCTTGGAAGTGGTTTATCGATGGTTTCTGGAAAACAGGTTTATTGGATTGCGCAAATTTTTTTAAACCCGAGCAAGATAAACTTTTTCATGATCTAGCTGAAAAAAAAAGCTTGATGGAGAAACCAAAAATAACTTTTGATAAAAATACTAAAAATTATTTAAAATATCAAAAATATCAAACAATTGTTATATCAACATACCATTCTTAGTATTATGCCGTCAAATGACCTACTTTGAAAAGTTGATTGTACTGTATAAGCATAGCAACTAATTCTAAAACAAAGCAAATAAACGTTTACTTCTCTGTTGAAAAGTCGAATAAAGCTGTGGATTGTGGTAAAGATATTGATCAATGACAAGAGCCAGAGACATTAACTTTACAAACATTCTTGATAAAGATGATGCAGAAATCGAAAAAATTTGTTATTTTATTTATTTTATTTTTTGAATTTATTTACATGCTTAATATTATAAAATAACCTACAATGTATCAGTATAAATTTTATTAAACCATGTGTGCAAACAAAAAAACTTTTTCCTAGCACTAATTGTCAATTTTTTTTAATTTCAAAAATTTTTAATGTTTGACCAATAATGTATCATTCTTTAAGTTCGTATTCTTTGGCCCCTATCAAGCATTACCTTAGACGTAATCTTTGTTTAAAGGCATACAATAATTGTCTCTAATAGCAAACTGTTGGAAGCGGAGGACCGAAGCAACTTTCTTGTGTAGCGATAAGTCTGGACGTTGCGTCTGACACTGTCGAATACTGGTAAACGCGGACAATCAAAAAATTTTCTCATCGGCTAGAAAAATTTGTTACAAATATCTTTGAAGTTTGACATTTTTTTATATTGTATTTGATTTGTATCCCATAATCGTAGTCACATGTGAGGCGACAAATTTCGTGTATCAGTGTATATTCCATAATGCTCGAGGTGATTTGGAATCTTGTTTTCCACGATTAGTTGTCCGGGTTATTTTGAAGTATAATATTAGAAACGCGTTAAATTAGTGTAGTAGAAAAAGAAGAAAAACAAATTAATTTTTTGCTTTCACTAATAGAATTTTCTTCAAAATAACTTCACATTTCCTCGGTAATATGTGTGCGAGCGGGTTTGACAATTTCAGGAAGTTTAAAAAACATTCGGTCGGCATGGCTTTTGTTTAGGTCTCGTTTTTTTGGAGGAGGATTAATTAATCATAATTCTTATTAACAAAAATGAATGATGATTCAGAAAAAAATCAGAGGGTTACGATAATAATCACGAAAAAATCACTCGGGTTCTTATTATTTTTTATTTCTTTTTTTGGTCTTTCTAAATAGAAAAGGCAAAAAGCAAAAATAATTAATAATGAAAAGTGTAAAAATTGCCGTACAGATTGAAAAACTTCACGCTTTCGTGACTTGTATCAGTGACGCAAACAATTTGTTGGCAGTATGCTATAAAATTTTTTTATTATATGAGTATTATGTATTAGTATGACTTTGTCACAAAAAAGTTGTACTGTATAACAGACTTGCTGAGTAGACAAAAATCTAACGCAAAATATAATCTCAATAATAGTATAACGAGATGTCGTTATATAGCAGTGTCGTTATATCGAGACGCACTTGTACTGTTATTAAGTCATTAATAAAATTTGCAGCCATAATGTTGGGCTTCCATAAAAGTCTATTTATCCACAAAATTATGCCCAAAACCCGACCGCCATCAACTTCGCCGGGTGTTACATTACACGTGACAAACCTTTTTATTGCCAGTAAGGTAGCACTATTTATATCATCGATTAGTTGTCTATTCCGTCGGCTGAGAGTGCTTCTTGTTGTGATAAAATCCAATTGGGATGCTTCATTACGTTGTCCTCCTTTCAAAGAGTAAAGTAATGCCGGCAGCATCCGGACAAATTAAAGATGTATAAGACTTGTAATGCTAACATCCATACCAATAAAATGTAAGTTGAGGTTCCCACGGGACCGACAGCGCGTAAAAGCGAATTGGTACACGCCACCAAACTGCATTTAATCCAATCATATTTATGTCAAGATTCGCTCTCTGCAAATCGAAAAACTCCGGACTGAATTGGATTTAATATTAATAATTAATTGGTTCCGTGCATCACGTTTATTTGACTACTGTGGGAATATATGATAAATAGAAACATCGTCAATTAAATCATCGACTAAAATTTTCACGTCTCTTCTATGACACTTGACAGATCCCCAGTAGCTAGAATATTTACACTCTTTCTCAAGGTTTCCACATCGACATGGTAAACGGTATCCCACACACTGGCATTGCTACGATCAAGGTCGTAAACATCATACATAAGTCTCCGTGAATCTGGACGCTTGTCAGGATCAGCATCACAACACCGCTCTGCAAGTCTCTTGTACGTTTCTGGTGCCGAATCCGGCATCGACGGTCGTAGCCCACCCAAAATATCGCGTATTAGATCTGCATCAAACTGCCTACCTTGAAAAGGTGCTTCGCCGGCGGCAATCAAATACATGATAATACCAAAAGAATAAATGTCTGATTTCACCGTGAATTTGCCAGTGTGAAAGACTTCCGGTGCAATAGAGGGTAAAGCGCTTCGAATGGTTGACTTTGATTCATGCGAATACACAGATCGTGAGAAACCAAGATCGCATATGAATGCAGTGAGCTCAGATCCGCCATGCAAACCTATGTTTCCGCCATGAAGATTACAATGCACTAATTCCTCTTGATGAACAATAGTCAGAGAATATCCAATATCCTTCAATAACTGTAATTTCATCCTCCATGTCAACCTGTTTATGTTTTGATTCAAATAGGACAATAGGTTATAATTATCACAATATTGCATGACAATTATGGGCTCTTCTGTTTCTGCGGTTTGCATCACTCCATAAATTTCAAAAAATGAGTCACAGCTAGCGCATTTGGCATGATTCCTGAGCTATTACATCACATAAATGCAGAGTCAGATTATAATTAAATATCATCCTGTTTTAATTAATGTTGTCAAAGATTGCTTACCTCGGAAATAAATAACTTTGGTGTCTGATCAAAGCACTTGAAACGTTTGAGGACAACTACTTCTGGCATATCCGCTCCTATTAAATAGTCTTTACATTTGGCAGTATAGACTGTTCCATGAACGCCTGATCCGATCTCCTTAATTGCATCAAAGTCATCATACTCCATATACTGTATATGTCTACGAGATTCTCTAACATTGCTAATTTCGCCGTTGTAAATTTCTATAAATCTGTCCAACGGCTCATATAGGTCATTGTAGAACACTAAGTAATATTCTTTAGTGGATGGCGCTTGTGTGATGCCAATAATCCAAATATTATCTGGAGTCAATATCTCTGGACGTTCCTTAATCAACTAATTGAGTAAACAAATAACGCAATGTTACAATAATGCGCGCGATGCTGTTTAAAATTAACTGCACGATTTACGTGAAAATAATTTCACCTGATAAAAATCAAACGACTGAGCGTTCCGTCCGTCAACTACCTGTTTGAGTATCACTTTTGTCGAATCCTTTGTTTCTGGTTCTAACCAATCTGCTATGTGTGTGCATCGATGGCGTAATGATGTCATTCTTTGTACGTTTGTCAATAGAGAGTATTCGATCCACCGTATATACGAATCGTCTGTAGTCCTCACATTGCTCCACGATTCCATAATAAATGTATCCAATGACTTGTTACCTGTAGTCCAATCAAGAGGTCGCGGCGCTTTACAATGATAACAGAATGCTGGTTCCCTAGAGCATAATCGACTTGTGCACGCCAGACACAAGCCAAACCCATTATACTCTTTTAACAGATAATACCCTGGTTTTCTGTTCGGCCTTGTATCGAATGTGAATCCGATGGTAATCCAGGCATGTTTTGCAAGAATGTCGGGATGCGCATCACATAACTAATGGATATTTATACATTACACTTAGTTGATAACTTGGCAGTTTACATGTTGTATAATTAATAGGTTTACCTCGTCATCGTACAAATCAGTTGTTGTTTCAAGTAGGATGAATTGGGCCCAACTAGTAGGTAGACCATACCACATGCGATTGCAATATTTTTCCATGCAATCAATTGGAATCCATTCCAGATAGGCATCATTTGCAGAGTTTGTTTGTAATTGAGATTTCTTAATCAACTCATCGAGTTTCTTATTGTTACTAGTCCATCCATCGGATAATTCTTTGTGACCGCAAATGCACCACACAGGACTGCATCGAAGTATTCCACATGTGGAGCAGAAGCCATATCGAGAATAACAATGGTAAAAGCGTTTATCAGCAACCATGTAAAATTTATCGTCATACTTGGTAAATCCATGTATCATATCATTGCGATTCTCAAGCCATGTGGAATATCGCCTAAATTGACCAACATTATTTATATTCTTGTGTGTTGGAAGTGAGTATTTTCTAGCAAACTCACTCACAAATGTTGATGTGCATATTTCGTTGCTTCCAAGTAATAGCAACATTATCTTAATTTCATAACCAGTATAAACAGAATTTCTTTCGCGAATACCGTAATGGACGTTGTCAGTTTGACTTGACTTTACGTTTTTAATTTGCGAGTGAGGAATCCATTCAAGTCTATCATTGCTAGCAATCAAGTCGTCAATTGCTTGATTATTAGCTAATACTAACGACATAGTTGTGAACTAACAAAATTTCGCATTTCTCGACAACTACGTTATTTTATTGGACTAGTGATTTATTGGATTAGTGATTACTGCGGTTGGTAGAAATGAGTTGCTTTTATGCTCGTCACTTGAAAGCTCAGGTTCAAATAATGAGTTTTAAAACTCTCGTTCGTTAAGAAATAAAAATCCAATCGTCACCCACTTGGAAATAAACATCGTTAGACTTTGTCATACAACTTTTGTCAGCCAATTGCAAGTGATGACTGAATGTTCGGAAGGACAATAAATGCAAATTTTAAATTGTTATTAACGCTTTCATAATGACGGTAAATCGAGAATGACTTAACCGAACGGCTAAACGGTCATGTTTATGCAAGGGAGGTAACGTAATCGCTAGAAATACAACAACATCGCGTTCACATCGTGTTACCTCGCACAGTCACGTTTAATATTAAAAAAGAAAATACTATGCATAGCCTGCAAATACTGCAAACAGTTATTGTAGGATGAAAGAAATATTAACAATTCGTTTAGTAAGCTGTTGGCGATGATATCTTATCATTTTGATTCATCAGAACAGCCAATTAATATTGTACAAACGCTAAAAACTGGCAATGGACGTTGTGTATAGCAAATAAACAACTCGCGTCATTGGCGTACAAGCCCGAATCCACATTTTTTAAAAGATGCGTGAAAACTTGGCCTGTTTACCCATAACACTTCGTACAGTATTTCTGGTCTGTTATCTTCGTCGCGGGATAACTTATAAATTTAACAGGAAATCTATCATTAAAATACTTTCTATTAAGCCCGTATAAGTGTATAACGAAAGAAAAACCAGATTTTTGAAAAAACGTATGGCATTGAAGAATTTCTTGTAAAAATTCCCGAACTACCAAATCTCGATAGAAACGACAACCAAATTACGCACTCGCTTATACTATCGTGATTTTATTGCAAGTCTCGAAAACGATATGATGCGTTCCGCAGCAATTGAGGGTTGTAACGTTAATCATACACTACGCGATGTTCACGGATTCATAAAAGCGCTTTAATTCTTTTTTTTTTTTTTCGCAACAAAAAATAGTCTCTTTGAAAGACAGAGTAAGTAGTCCAGCGTAATGACTCCTTTCAGAATTATTGCAATAAATACTATACTTGAGAATTATTTCTTATCTCGCATAGGTGATAATCTAAAGTATATTCGCAAGCCCCACGATCGACAAGTCCACACGTTTATCGGATGGTCCTCTCTCTCTTTTTCTCTTTCAACGCCTGTTACCGTTTTCTCAAAATGCGAGGTCTCCTCTGATGATTTTTAAACATAAAAGGACTAACAATATACGTCACTATAATTGGACAAATCCTTTATATTCTTGAAAAGCCAATGCCGTCGAACTGCTTAAAAAAGCCCAAGAGTCTCAATTTTGCGTTCAATTGCTGTGTAATCTTTAGCATTACCGGCAGATTCTGCACCGACTTGAATGACATTCCACATCCCGTGGGCAGTGCGCGCAACACAGCACATGATGACAGCTTGTGTATTGGCTGCCTTTTTGAGTTCATATGAGCACAAATTCTTGTCTGGATGTTCTTGATCGAATAGGTGAAATTTTGGAGTCTTAAAGTGTCCGATGGTTGGGGAATCCCATGAGCTAAGGATAAAAAATAGCAATGTTACTTCGAGAGGGAGTTCATCCAGTTTGGCTGTTATCTTGTGATGGCCTATAAAATTTCAAGTCGTTGGACAAGGTCAAAAAAAAAAGTGCAACAGTGTAGGATAGACAGTCTTTCAGTGAGCCATGTTATGCATGTATGTATTTACCTCTCTTATTTGCATTATCGATCACATCACCAGAATGCCTCATGCTTGGCGTGGCTGGATAGAAGACCGATTGATAATCATATTTTCGCCAGTATTGATTGCCAGTGTACAAGAAACAAGTTCCATCAAGATAATCTGGATGGTTTGCGGGAAATCCCCAGTCCAAATCGAATACCAGATTTTTAACAGATTCGGCTTGTGTAATTTCATAAAGAATCACAATCAGCTGTATGTGACTGTTGGCTCTGATACCATAATCGACAAGTTTCGTGGCCCGGTTTTCGTTGGTATAGTCCTATTGAATGTAATAAACATAAGGCCAATCGGCTATTAAAACAAAAAAGTATTTACTTATTCTACTGACCATGAGTTCAACACCATTGTAGACCAACTTTTGCTTGGCAATTTCTATACGATTTTTTGCGTAAATCTGTTGTCGTAGAGCCAATACGGTCGAAACCACGCTGTAGTCGATTACAATTCTCTCGCCATTCAGCAAGACCACATATATGTCTCCCTTTTGAACGATTTCTTCCTTGTTGTTAGCAGCTTTCAAGTTTGCAACAAGATGTTGGCGGCCGATTTGACTGACGTCAAGCTTGAACGAAGCATCCTCCCAAGCGTCCGTCAATTGTTTGAAATCATCACGACTAACCGCAGTTTTACATTCTGGACACTCGTACTCTCCTTCCTTTTGTTTTTTTAGCAAATCAATCAGACACTAAGACATAAATAAACAGCAAAGTTATGGCGTTGATTAGCGTGTATTGCTAAACACATCACATTAGATATGCGGGATCGTTTATTACCCGGAGACAATGAGAAGATACGTGATCACAGCGTTCGGTTAGAACAGCTGATGGGAATTCATTTGATAGTTTATCGATTTTACAGTTTGTACACTTCATTTTGACTATAGAAAGTGATCTTAGAGATGCCTAACTGCAACTCTCTCCATTCAGTCAAAAATTCCTTTTGAAAGTTCACACGGACTTTTCAACCGCCTCTTTATCATCCTGCCAAATATGCATAATAGTGCCTGTGTAACGGTAGATCTGCGCCAAAACATGATTCCTCGAACAATGTCATGCGAGCAGTTAATTGGATAACCAGTACATAAACGTGAGATCACAGAGAGTTGACATAATTAGCGCAAAGAGCAATCGTTTTGATATGCAATTGTCTTGTCAGTCGGTCGATATTATCTGACATGTAGTTGGGCGCTCGTATCATTGGTATACGGACGACAAGAAAGTCTATATAATTATTGTTTACATTGTTAATTCTGACCTTTTTTACGTACTCCTGATTTCAATTAAATTTTGGTGTTCCCCCCCACTCCCACTGGAGGAGTTATAGTCAATGACAATAATTCTGCGAATACGGCGATGGATGATGATCTTGAAATTACACAATTTTCTGATACTAACCATTGTTCAGCAAAGTTTCGCAATAGTATATGACGTAGAATTTGGTTGGATATCTACCGCGGACAAAATGGATAGAAAAGCATGACCGCCATTCGCCAATTATATCCGAAAACTTTAATAACTAATAAACGTTAAGGCAACTTCCGGGAACTATGCTAAATAAGAATGTCGCATGACATGTGAATTAATTATTTCCCGACGTGTCGGGAACGTTTACCGGCTACTTGCAGAATGTCATGAATTAATGGCCTATGAATATGCACTTGCGGTATTAAATTTATTCAAAACTTGAACATACTTCTGTTACGATCTCTCTTTTGCCCATCCACTCACCACGTTACACTAACGCCTAACAGAAATGTCCTATAAATAGGTACACGGTTTTTATATTTTCGCATTCTAAGCAAAAAGAACAATCCCATGACATAAAACCAAAACGATATCAACTTTCCAAATCTGGCATTCTTCCTCGCATCATTGACAAGACAAACCAAATCCCATTCCTCTGACCACTATACGTCATGACTGATATACAAACTCCTAGCACGCTCTGCAGCGACTCGGATGATGAAGGATACGAAGAGTCAACATTGAGGTTCCCTATACTTGACTTTTCCAAACTTCCACACCGTAACTTTAGTCTACCGCCTCGGATACTTGAAAAGCCGCTTGAATTTCCAAAACCCGATTTTGATAATTTGCCGAGTAGAGAATTCATGTTACCGAGAGAGTTGAGGATACGGGTAGGCTTGGCCGTGGCCGTGGATATATGCGAGAACGCAGAAGAGAACGTCTGTGAAAAGAAGACACGGATATCGAAACATGGTGATTTTGGAAAACGGATGCGACATCTGAGGAACGGCGAAATGGAATTTACTTTGACAGGATTGTTTGAAAACCTTAGTGGGATGGCGAAAATCATCAAAACACCATTACGGAGTGGTTTTGGTAAAAGATGTGCAGAAATTTTCAACTAAACTGATGTGGTAAATGATATTAATATATGTTCACAATGCGATATGAGATTTTGCGTTTATATTTACTGAAAATTTGCTTCTTCTTCTTCTTCTTCTTCTTTTTCGTTATTTGACGCGTGGGGCTGCTGAAAAGTAATGCAAACATTTTCTTTTATTTCCAAATTGATGTTACAACATTGTAATAAACTATTTCATCCAAGGCAGTGACCCATCTCTTCCTACGCCAATCCTCGACGATCTATGGTACTCTTCTTTTGAAATACACTTGAAGTGATTGACTAAACAGAGTCGAGCGAGATTTTCAATCTATTATACTTTTTTATTCTCCAAGTACTTTTTTGATTCTAGGGAACCAAATCTGTTACATTTTGTAACGAGGTCTGCCCGGTTTCAAAAGATTTTGCTCTCCGACTGATTTCCCCACCGGTATGCTTTACGGACATCTACAGATTAATTTGTTTCCTTACCAGTATTCAGAAGGTAAAGCAAACAGAATTTCCCGTGTATTTCCCTAATGCTGATAACAACGGCTGCTGACAAAAGATTTCTCTATTCCCAGCCTAGTAGTGCCAGCTCGAGGTGGGGGAAACTATCGCTGCAAAAAGCAATCTTTAGCGGCAGCGTCCACGGGATGAGCCTTGGCGGATTGAGTGTAAATATTTTAAACGTTTGCAGTTGTATTTCTTAATCATTCTATTAACACAATTAAGTTCGTAATATTGTATCTTGATTTGCGTGGGGGATAGGTGCTTCGGTTAATTGTGCTGTTACGTCAATTAGTCCTGTTGTTCCTTTAGGGTTTTGTAAACACTGGCATAGAGTTAAAGTAAACAAAAATCGCAACATCAAGTAAATGCTGTAGTAATTAATTAAAGGAGATAAATTTGAGTACTTGTTACGTTTTAGAGAGAAAGTTTCAATATATGCTAATTAGTAAATATATCCCAACTGCGGCTATTGAGATGCCGCAAACCCAATGCATTCCATCGCTTTCACAGGCGAAAGCGAAAAATTGTTCTGATCTAATATGTACCAACCGTCCTATATATGATAAACAAAATCCTATCAAAACAAACTAACTACCAAAATTAATATCAATCTCGATTTACCATCGATCTCAGTATGGTCTCTACTAATGGATAAATTTGTTTTCGTGACATTACAACGTTCTCCTGATTATAAAAAGCATTATGCTTATATTTTCCATTGTTCACCAAACGTAATTCAGAATCCTTCAATTTTTCTACAAGTTGTTTCCTATCGATCTTCTCACCAACAGGCCATATTACCAATTCACGTTGAAATCCATATTCTGGATGATCGTAGAGGGTTGCTACGAGCAACAAATCAAGTTTGTTACGTTCGGCATATTTGTCGAACGATTCGGTAACTTTCTCAAGAGTCCGTGCTTCAGTCCAAGAGTTGAGATCCCAAGTCACGGCAGATATGCCAAGCTGCAATGACGCGATTTCCCATTGCTTGTAATCTTTACGGAGGAGATCGAAATCCGATAGGTGACTCACGTCAAACCGAGCCTTCTGGATACCATGATAGTCTGATATAATCTCGAGTAAAAACTTGGCAGCGCTCAAGTCTTCAGGCTTGGTTTTGCCTTTACTCTCATCAAGCGATATAGTGTCGACTAAAATCGGTGCCAATAGAAGCTTGGGTAATTTCGCAAGAGTCTTTTTCTGATCGTCAGTAGCCTTTGTCCAAAGATCTTTGAATTCGAGTGTGACTAATGAGCAAGCTGAGCCGACAAGTTTTATGTTCCGGTATTCACCAGTTACTGAGTATAGGTTTTCATCCTTATGATGATCTATTATTCTATAGACTTTTCCTTCCACATCTTTCCATCGACTCATCAATTGATTGTGATCCACAAGCACTATTTTGCTATCATCATACTTTTTTAACACCTTTTTAACTTTCTCAAAATCGTCTAGGTATATTAGGTTATTCTGATTTAGGCCGCTTTCTTTCAACGCGTAAACACATTCTTGCCGAAGTTTAAGTTCAGATTTTGATATCTGAACCAGCGGGATACAAATCTTATTCACGAGTATGTTAGTCAGTACAGCGTAAGCTGTTGCAGAGATTATAGAGTCGAGATCTGTTGCATAAGGCCGGTTGAGAATTACGTCTTGTTGACATTTGCAAACTGAAACAGTGATTTGTTATTTTTTTCTTACTCACCGGCAGATTCATTGCCCATTACAACTTCGAGTGACGGTAACGCGCCTTTTGAAGATTTGACGCTTGCTTGATCAAGGACGTTAAGCAATCCGAGGAAATTATATGGATCTTGCCACTTAATATTGCTGGCATCTTTACTACGACCTGAAAATTTCATAACAGACTTCATTCGGATTGATAACTGTCTCCTCGTTTTATTAACGTCCATTATCCTTCTATTATTTCTTTGTTGCTGTTGATTCTCTGGAGTTTGTCTTTCGGCTCTTGCAGGGTTTTCTGTCATGATGTGGGGAAGTATTTATATGTATTAGTGTGCTCGGCTGTCATTTCTATTCAACGTTCCGTGGTACAAATGAATTGTATGTAACATGTGATGAGAGATAGTGGAATAAAAAACTTCAAATTCTTTTTTCATATAACAAGAACTTGTTTCATCGAAGGATGTATGCATTGACCAATCTAAAGTCAAAAAATGAAGGAGATTCGGATATTTCGTACACCCTGGTTTCATCTGAATCATCGAGGAGTAAAACCGAAAAGTTGAAGCCTTCAAGGTGGAACACGGTTGAGTTTTATGTGTATTATATAGTACATGTAGTTACCATACCGTATATGTTTTGGGTGGCATACACAATCAGTAGAGGTAAAGTTTTTTGGCTAACGTTTTATGATGTAATTAATGTTTGAGCAAGTTTTACCGAAAATTTCATATTGATTGTTTATAGAATCACACCCAAACTACCCACAGTACGAACATTATTTGTCAGACGGATGGTTATTTGGCCGTAAATTTGTAAGTAACCAGTTAACATAATCAATTTGCTCTTCTACATTTTTATAGATATCGTTCCTATACTGACATATTCCCATCATAATAGGATAATAGTGATTTTCAATTTGCAAGTGTTCGCAATAACTACATTCCTCTATTTCTTGCTCTAGTCATCCATGTCGTACTCTCCCGATTATACAGATTCCTGTTTGTTCCATCACAACCAGCCAAACTACCTAGTCAGCACTTACATCAAGTCTACTTTAATCTTGTATTCTCGCTTCTCTTCTTTTATGGTCTCTGTGGGAACGGTTTATTGAAGATCTTGATCATACTGACTATGAACTATCTGATTGCCAAAGTGTTCAAAGGGTCAATTCTCAATTGCGTGATTACTTGGGTGTTTAACTTGGCAATTTTATTTCTAAACGACAGATATAAGGGATATGAATTTGCAATGGTCGATGAGCGGTTGTCTTTCTTGGTAAGATTTTTCTTTCAATAAATGAATTTATTGAACAAGGCAGCTGAGTGATTAGGTCAATGGAATGGTTGATTACAGGACAACAATCGTGGTCTACTGAGATGGCAAGTGACATTTAATATTTCCATGTTAAGAATGATATCCTACAACATGGATTATTACTGGAGCTTCGGAAAGCTTGCCGGTGATGATTCTAAAGAGGTAATCTTGGGAGATCTGGAT